GCAGTGGGGGCGCGGAGCGAGAGGGCGGGGACGGAGGCGGGCGGCCGGAACGGGCTCTTGAGCAGGCGGTTTGGCTAGCGCAAGCGGCGAGGGCGGGCGACGTGGGGCAGGCGAGCAGACGCCTCGAGCAGAGGCCAAGCAGGGACCGAGACGCCTTGCGAATCGCCTCGCCGCGGGCGGACGCGTCGCCGGTGGCAGCCGCCGCATCGACGCATTCCCGCGCCTCGAGCGCCTCTGCCAGCGCGTACGAGATAAAAGCGACCGCATCCGCGGCGATGCCGCGCCATGGCGCAGCTTGCGGTGGGATGGCAGCCATTCGGCGCCGATCGCTGCTGCACGAGTCGATTGTGCGCGATGCGGGCAAGGCGTCTGCCTGCGGCGTGTCCACCAAGAGAGGCGGCGGCGCTGCGGCGTGGAGGTACGGCTCGGGAGGGTCGGGGTTGAGAGCGCGAGGCGACGGTGACGTTCGCAGCTTGTTGGAGACGTCAACGAGAGGGGCCTCCCCCTCCAGGGCCCCGGCCGGCGGCTGCGCGGAGGACCGCTCCTCGATGCACAGCCTCAGCTGCGACCGCAGGTTGAGCACGGACTGCCTCGACTTTGTCTGTCTGGGCCGCTGCGCTCCGCCCGCTGCGCCGCCCGGGTGGACGTCGGCGCAGGGCTTCATCTCGTGACTCGTGAAGGGCCAGCGCGACGCACACAATTCAAGCGCGCGGCGCGGTCTTTTCTTTCTTGCTCGTCTTTTAGTGAGGGCAAAAAGGGCCACAGTCCCGCTATGGGACTCGCAGTTCGCGCGTGCCAACAGGTTGAGAGTCCCAAGAGTGCCCGACAGACCGACAGAATCACCTGACAGCACCTGACAGCCTGACAGCCAGGGCTCAGCCGCGGACGACCATGACGTCGAGAGAGAGAGAGACTCTCTCCATGACGTCGGCCAGCGGGACCCCCCCGTGCGGGGGATTTCGATGGCTGTCAGCGCTCCTCCGGGCTTTGCATCACACCTCCCATTCACGCACGTAGCTGAAGCAAGTACTCGTAAAAACGGCGCGTCAAATGCAGCATCCAGGCGTCTAAAGAAGACGACATGAATGGTTCACAAGAATGTGTTCAGACCTTTGCGCGGGGGGTGTGAACAGCCATTCCGCGTGGTTGAGGGGTTGAAGGGGTCTGTCAACCACTTGGTTGAGGGTTGAGGCCTCTGTCAATTCAAGCGTCCCGTGGGTGGGTCTTTTCTTTTCTGCTCGTCTTCAAGTGACGCCGTTATTCGCCACCCCCCTTGTATTCCGTATCGCCTTACGTACTTACTTCTGACGTATTCGCCACCCCTCTTGTATTCCGTACGTATTCTCGGAGCGGAAGCTTCGTGCAGGACTGACGAGGGGGCAACTCGAGTCTACTCTCAAAATAACGCTAAGACCAGACACAGGCCAGAGCGTGCGAGATGGGGCACTTGGGGCTACGGCCCTCACTCCGAAATAGGTGGGGCGTGGTGCTGGGCACGGTACATGGCGACGCGAGGCGGCGGCGCGGCGCGGCGGCGGGCGACGCAGGGCGGGGCGGCGCGACCACCTGCACTGGCCTCTGGTCTCTGGCCTTTGGAGCAGGGCAGTGGTCGCGTCGCCCATGTCCGGACCAACACCCCGACCGGCGAAGACGGAATATACTCCGTGCCGGCGGCCCCGTCGGCGGCGGCGTCGATCGGATCGCGTCGCGCCGGCGGGGGTGGTGACCGAGCGGGCAATTGCTCCGCTGGCCGGCGCGGGGTCGCGCCAGCGGGGAACAGGTGAGTAAGGCGGCATCGACGCTGAACGGTCTCGAAACCCACCCCACCACACTGAAAGACCACCGGCCAGTTGACGACACACTCCCAGACGCCCGCCGATGAAGCCGGGAGGATGTATGGAGGAATGGTAACGACCTCTCCAGATTGGTTGAGCCCCGGCATCGATGGTGGGAAGAGGGAGGATCCCCCCCCCTTCCTCAGTTCAATCCCCGAGAGGAGAGGCAGAGCCTCAGGCAGAGCCTCTGGCGCGGTGAGACCACCCGTAAGCTCTCAAGGCCGACCCCCCCTCCGGCCTAGTTGGTCGAAGCGCCGACCTTTAGGTCTAACAAAACAGACATTTTGAGGTGTTGGACGGACGGAAAAACACCCCCCTTTTATGCCTGACCCTGGGCATGGCCTCTCTGGGTGTGAGCTGGGTCGGCCACCTCCGGGTCTGCAACTCGCACGGTGGGGCCGCATCCGGGCGAGCATCCGAGGCCTGCGGTTGTCCTTTCGCTGCGCGCGACCGCCATGGAGATCCGTTGCACACAGATCAGTGGTTTTGTCGACTTTTGCTCAATCTCTGTGCACTCGCACCGCCAGAGGCCGCGCTCGGAGAATGTGCCGCAATGCTGCTGCGTCAGTGGATTGAGCCGCGGCGCAGGCTCCATCGGTGAGCTGCGGCGGCGCGCCGGCCGCTCCATGCATAGCTCTCCGGCGAGCAGTCGCGAACGCGTTTTCCGTCCGTCGTACCGTCGTTTCATCGAGTTTGCCCGAGTGGTAAAATGCAATCGAATTTGCCCGAGTGGTAAAGTGCAACTTTGGCATTTGGTAAAAGTTGCCCGAGTGGTCTGATGGGAAAAAACCAAAGCCCTTGGGGCCCCAAGAGCTAAAGGTCAACATCCCCTCCGGTTAGGAAAATGTGAACCTGATTTGGTCCTCACGGAGGGACGGGGTTGCCCCGTCTCCTCCAGATGGAAACGGACTTCATGCCCGGCCGGGCAAAATTTTTTGGTTACTATTATTATTGGAAGCTTTTTGCAGGGGTGAGCCCCCCCCCCCCCCCCCCCTCCCCCCTCCCCCGCGCCCATTCCCTGCCCTCTCCCGCCACACACTCCGTCAGAGCCCCCTCCCCTCTTGCACAACAGGAATTCTGACAATTAACCAGATGAACCCCTCTCCCGCCATCCCCTGCAGGTGCAGGGGAGAAACATAGTGAAAATTGATGGGCTTGCCCATCCCGGAGTGGTTCGACTCCACGCAAACCCGAGACGGTGACGGGGGGCGTCGTACGGTGGTCTCATGCCCAGTGAGGTAGTGCATCTGACTACCCCGGATCCTGCTGAACAAGTTCCTCTTGTAGCTCGATCGGTCACACCGCCATCGCCGTCGGGGAGAGGGGGGACGACACTGCTTCGGCAGCGTGCACCTCGATCCTGTACCGTGTTTGTTATGACCCCCCCCCCCGATGAACACCCCGGTGAGGGAGGGCGAGACGATCGAGGGGTCCCGTACCATGCGGAATCGACCCTATCCAGTGCTCAAGTGGAAGTGCTCACCAGACAGGAGCTTCTCTCGGAGGTTTTGCGCAAAAGGTGGCCTAGTTGGTCGAAGCGCCGACCTTTAGGTCTAACACTAACACAGACAGGTGCACCACGTGGAGCCGCCTAAGTAAGCCGCTGCGAAAAGGATTTAGTTGCTTTAAAAAAGCTTGTACTATTAACAACGAAGGCGCTCTCAAAAAAAAAAGTACCTAGTGAGGCAGTGATCCGCCGAAGTTTGTGCGCGCCGCCCCGTGCAGGGCCCTTGTATTACCACGTTGCTCCGGGATTGAGGCCGTCACGGTTGGCGCCCTGCACCGCTGCCGCAATGGCAGCGCGGGCCGAGAACGAGCCGGCCGCCGGCTCACCACTGTCTCGCCGCAACGCCCATTCGGAGCGCGTGAGGCAGCTGAGGTTTGCTCTGGAGGAGGAGGAGCGGGCAGTGGCCGCGTGCGACTTGGAGCTGCAGGCGATGGAATCCAGCCCCACCGACGCGCCGCCGGTGCCCCCGACGCGCTCCGTCCGCGCGCTGCTCGCGCTGACGTCGCCCATGTACGGCATCGGTGTGATCTCCAACCCGCTCCCTCCCCCTCTCCTCCCTGGCTCACTCTCCCGCCCTCCCCCCCGCTCCCAACCACTCCCCTCGCACGCCCTCGCCCTCACCCCTCGTCTTCGCTCGCCCTCCAAAGGGATCGCATGGGGGGCGCAGTACGCCAAGGTGACTCCGATCCTGCAGCAGCTCGGCCTCGCCCCGTGGTTGCTCTCGGTGGCGTGGCTCGCGGGGCCTGTCTCTGGCCTCGTCGTGCAGCCGCTCGTTGGGCAGGCGCGAGCTAAGGCCGCCGCCACAGCCCGCACGCTGCCCGGCCCACGCCCCCTCCCGCCCCTCAGGTCTCCGACCGCACCCACTCCGAGTCGCGCTTCTTCCCCGGCAAGCGGCGGCTCTGGATGTGGTGCGGCATGCTCGGCCTCTCCCTCTCCTCCATCACGATGGCCTTTAGCCCAAACATCGGCCTACTCCTCGGCGACCCCGACGATGCCGCCCTCCTCGCCGAGACGGCACTCCCCGAGACCGGCTCGGGCGCCGCCCACGCGCTCCCGCCCGCGGAGCTGGGGGAGCTGCTGAACGGTGAGCTCGAGGCGACCCTCTCGGAGGGTGGGGGCTACCACCCGGCGGCTCTGTGGGTCGCGATCGCCTCCTTCTGGGCGGCCGACTTCTTCCTCAACGCGCTGCAGGGACCCGCGAGGACGCTCGTGGTGGACATGTCGCCGCCGCACCAGCAGGCGCATGGCGCTAGCATCCCCGGAAACATCCTCCCCGACAAGAGCGCAGCCGAGATCCCGCCATGTTCTAGCCGAGATTCGTCCCGAGATCCGGCCGAGATGCGAGCCGAGGTCGCGGCGCCGCCAGGCGCTCGCCAACAGCATGTTTTCGGTCTGGGACTCGCTCGGCAAGGTCTCGGGCTTCTTCTTCGGCTCGCTCGACTGGTCGTCCTTCTTTGCGCCCGGCGAAACCAACCTACTCGTCGATGCGCACGTGCTTCCGGGCCGTCGCGCCCTCTTCGCCGACTGCCGCGCCATCTTCGCCTTCTCAATCGCTGCGATGGCGGCGACGCAGCTCGCCAACCAGCTGAGCTTTGTCGAGCCGCCACCCCATCCGCGCGCACTGGCGACGCCGCTGACGGCCAATCCGCTACGGCCGCTGATCGACTCGCTGCGGCGGATCCCGTCGATGCCGCGGAGCCGCTCCACTAGATGCGGCTTGCAGACCCGTGATTGCGTCGGCAGTCGAGAGGACACCTATTCGGTTGAGTGGTCTCAGCTGCCTTCGGCGATCAGCCATGTTCGTAGCACCTGGTGTTCACGCGATGTTCGGAGTCCACTGCACGAGACGGGGTGCTCACACACATCCTGACTTTGCACGCACCGCAGGCACGTGCGCGCCACCTTTGCCACACTCTTCTCCATGTTCGTCGGCTGGTTCATCACGTGGATGTACCTTCCTGCCTTTATGGGCGGGTCCGTCTACGGTGGCCCGACGACACCGTCCGTGCTTGCCTCTGTGACGAGAGCGCCTCTGCACTCGAGCGTACCTCTGCGATAGGCGGCTCGCCCGACCCATGGCTTCCCGAGGACGACCCGCTTAAACACGCGTACAACGAGGGGACGCGCGCTTGCTCGCTCGGCACGACTCGCCCGCTCGCCTCGCCCCCCCCCGGCCGTTTTCTTCATCTCCACGATCCCTCTGACAGGCATGACTCTCGCCTCGCTCGTCACGCTGGTCTGCGCGCCGGCTCTGCCGGCCGCCATGAGGCAATTTGGCGAGTCGGAGGCCCTCCTCCCCCGCCCCCCTCGAGCGGCCAGATCCCCAAGATATCCCCTCCCGCGCCCTCCCCGACGTGTCCCTACCCGTCCGCACCCAGGTCTTCCTCTGCCTTGAGCTTATGCACACGCTGCTGCTGATCCTCCTCGGCACCAGCATCGCCACCCCCGGCCCCGCGATCGCCGCGATCGCCGCCCTCGGACTGCCCTTTGCTGGCCGCCGACCCATCATGCCCCGTTCGCGGTATGCATCTCGGTACACCTAGGCTGAACCTCGATGGCGCCTCATGCTTAGGCTTCCTCGTCATCCCCTATGCCATCGTCGGCCGCGCCGCCGCTGAGTCCTCCGGCGCAGGGGTAGATGGGCGACACTGGACGCGTGCGGCACTTCGTGTCACGCGCCACTTGTCGCCACTGTGTCGCGCCGATACCACGCTTAGTATGGCCGTGTCAGCTAGGCGCGGGGCAGTACATGGCGACGATGAACCTTTTCCTCTGCCTGCCCGAGCTGCTCGTCTCTCTCGTGATCGGCCCCGCCGCGTCGGCTTCGGGATCGATGCGCCTACCCCTCCTCGTCGGCAGCGTCTGGTGCGCCGTGGCTGCAGCTGTGATTCACACATACCTCGTGCGCACCACGCCGCAGCAGCGGCGCGCCTCGTGCAAGCGCTATGTCAAGAACAAGGCGGCGGCGGCCAAGAAGCGCGCGGCGGGCGAGGGGGACGGGGCGGAGCTGCTTGCCCAAAAGGCGGCGGCCGACGCGGGCGCGTGGACGGTCGCCCGCGGGGAAGGCGAGTCGCCCAAGGCGGAAGACCACCCCCCCGCGTGGGTGAGGCCTGCCGGGGCACCAGACGATTGGGCAGAGACTTGACCAACGTGCCGCCACTCTCTGTATCATGTCTGGCCACGGTGTTTTGTTTGTGTCCGCGAGCGCGAAGCGGCGAAGCGCGGGGTGTCCCCATTCCTTCCCTTTGTGTGATTTGTGATTTGTACGTTTATTTTGCGAGGCGCCAGACGCGTGCCCTCCGTTAGGCCTTGTACGGAAAACGAACAACTCTCCGAACTCGCTACTCGGTCGGGTCCTCGCTGCTCGCTCGCCGCTCTGCGCTCTCGCGCGTCGCGGGGGCAGTGACCAGTGTGACAAGATCAAACTTCAAAGTGTGGTGAGGGGTGTCGAGGAGGGGGCGGTGTCGTCTGTCGGGTGTCGTCGCGTCGATCTCAACATCCACACCCCTCTGCCCCTGCGCCCTGGCCCTGCCTGCGACGGTCGCGCTCAATCGCTCACGCATACAAACGAAACACACGACCTGTTTCCACCAGTGTCCCCAGCGTCTCACACAGTCTCTTTTACGCTGTGGCTGTCTGTGACTGTGATCTGTGTGGTGCGGGGGAAAGCTGCACCGAACACGCTACGGAGTCTGCTTGCGTAGCTTAGTAGGCATGAAGTGTAGTTGTGATAGCCGCTGCCGCATGCACCATGCACGCCCGCTCCGGGCGTTGGTTGCCAGCACGCTCTGAGGGGTCCCGTACCATGCGGAATCGACCCTATCAAGTGCTCAAGTGCTCAAGCTCAAGCACGCTCTAACATGTCCCAACAGCCCTTGAGAGCAGGCGCGCGGGGGGCCTCACGGGCCATTCAAAACTACCCTGCTCTTCTAAAATCGCGTGAGGGCTGCTCTTAGTCCTAGAAGATGTAGGATTGCGAGCGTAGGCGCTCACAATCGCACAGAGATGCTACGATTGCGAGGAGTGCTGCTCACAATCCTTCGACTTCTAGGATTGAGAGCGAGGCTGCTCTCAATCCTAGCCTAGTACAAAAGAAGGTTCACCGCCACTGCGCGCCAGTCCCGCGTGAAAAGTCGTGAGACCGAGTTTGTTGTAAAAATCTACGAGTGTTAGAGTTGTTTGGTATTGACGTCCGCAGCTCCCGCCGATCTCCCGCTTCTTACCCCGCCTGTAACCTCTCGTTAAGGTATTGCTGAAAATCTCTCTCTCGAATGTTTCTGCCAGACTCACCAACGAAAAGTTCAGAACCAGGCTGCCACACAACCCCACTGCGCTTACTCGCGGGGGGCCGCGGCCGCCCTGTCACCCTTCTTCCAAGCCCTTCCAATCTTCTTCTCGTGTTAGTGCCAGTGCGCGCCATTAGAGTACCAAACAACACATGATGTGCATGTGCATGTGCATGTACATGTTGTATTCGTTTTGTTTGTCGCGCCAGTCCCGTGCCTAGTCGCTAGACGCTAGTGTCGGTCGTGCGAGGGAGTTTGATGGTAAAATTCTTCTTCTCTGCCCCGTGTAGAAAGAAGCAAAGAAGACAGACAAACCAAGGGAGGGATGGGAGGACGGCACTCCGCCACCACACGCGGATTGTATCATTGGCTGCGTTTCTTTTTTAATTCTCCCATGTCCAGGATGAATCTTAAATCTCTAGTTAGTACACTACACATTAGGCTAAATCGCTCACGAAATCCTACTTTCCCACCTTTCTCGTGGTAACCAGCCGATGAAACCCGAAAGCGGGGAAAAAGAGAAGTGGGCTGTCGGCGGAGACGTGAGGGATGGGAAGGCTGCGGCATGTGCTCGCCAGGGCTTTGCCGCGGCCCGCTGCAGTGGCCTCAGCTCGAATTGGGCACGCCCGACCCCTGCTGCGCGTGGGCCGGCGCTCCATCTTCGGCGGCCCCGACGAGATGGAGATGTCGCGCGCCGTCGCGCGCCGTCGCCGCTTCGACTCGCTCCTGCTGGCGCTCGGCCCGCCACCACAGCCGGTGCGGGCTGCTGTGGAGCGGGCGGTGGAAGCGGCACTCGTGCAGCACGCGACCCAGGGCACCTTGGCTAGTCCCAGTGCACTGAGCGCCGCGGTGGACGACGCCTTGCCCGCACTCACCGCGCTGCAGACCGCGCCGCTCGCGCGCTCGGTGAGTGTTGCCGAGATGGCATCCGCGGCGGCGGAAGTTGCTCCAGCAGCAGCCAAGGCGGCGGTGGCAGCCGAGCACCAGACGGCGATGGCCGAGGCGGCGGCACAGACGGCGGGGCCGGCCACCCCCGCGGCCGTACTCGGTGGGGGATCGGCGCCGGTGGCGCAGCACAACGCGGCGGTGCATGCGGCAGCCGCGGGCGGAGCAGCTCCGTTAGGGGGCGATGGACAAGCGGTGGAGGCAGCGCAGGACCAGCCACTCCCGGCCGAGGACCTGTCCGAGGAGGAGCTGCTGACGGTGCACGCCATGCGCATGGCCGCTGCCCTCACCGTCGTCCGGGACTGGCCTTGGGAGGCGCTCGTGGCCCGGGCTGCCACCAACGGCGGCGGCAGCGGCGGCGGCGGCGTGCCAGTCGCGCTGCTGCTCGACGTGTCCCTCGACCTCGGCTCGGGCGACACGTCTCGCGCTCTGCAAACGGAGTTGCTTCTCTCCCGTGCCTCCCTTCCCGCGGGCGCGGCTGCGCCTTCAGCGCCCCCCAGTGCGGTGGAGCTCGAGGCGGCGAGCCGCACGGTGGCGGCGGTGGCGGTGCCGCTGCTGCGCGGCCTGCTCGAGCGAAGCACGCTGCACACCGAGGCCGAGGCTGCCCACCTTGCTTCGCTCGGTGGGCGGACTGGGTTGGCGGGCCTGTTGCAACGCGGCCCGCCACCGCCCTCTGGTGCGGCGGCAGCGGCGGCGGTTTTGGTCACCGAGATGACGCAAAGGTCGCTGCCACGCCGGCTCGCGGCGGGACTACTCGCGCGGCTGCGGTCCAGCCCGCCTGCCCCTCCCGAGATGCTCGCCGCAGCGAGCGCCGCGGTGAGCGACCCTAGAAGCTGGCGACGTATTCTTGTATTCCGACTGGCGCTCGAGAGGACACGTGTTTGGCTGTATTCGGCCGTGGTTGGCGGCCTTTGCTGTATTCGTATCCCTCGTGTTCACGCGGTACTCTATGGCGTAGGTAAACGACCCAAAGGCGGTCCACGCGGCGCTCCAGGCGGAGGCGGTGGCGACGCCGCGGCTCGCTCCGCTGTACGGCGCCCTCTCCTCTGAGCCCACGTTGCTGCACGCGCTCGCCGGATCATTCTACAACCAGCACGATCGAGCTGCCGGCCGAAGGCGGCGGCGGGTTGCTTTTGCCAAGCTGCTTGGCCTCTTCATGGCGGGGAACGTGCTCGATTTCGTTCTCTCCAACATTTGAGAGGCACACAGCCGCAGCATGTCTATCACGACGGTATCGACGTCAAAACGGATCAAAGCTGTATGGGCAGGGGCCAGCAAAAGACACAATGGCAAATAACAAATAGCACTAGAAAGTGAAGCAAAAAAGTACCCCACTGCCACTCCCTAGCGGCCTGTCTCCGCGTGCAAAAATGAGAACACATGCATGAAATGTGAGACGCGCGCACAATTCATGTATCGACGTGTCGTGTGTGCGACACATGCACATGCACATGCGCACGTGCATGTGCATGCATCACAAAAGCTCGAAGGGGCAAACACATGGAGCGATCATGTGAGGCGCTCAAGTCGAGCCACCTCAGCGAGCGCGAAGGACCCCGCCCGCCTCAGTGACGAGACTTCGTGCGTGCCGCACGCAGCGACGAGGGGCGGGAGGCCGGCTGCGCGCACGGGCTCGTAAAAGGCGGACGACAAACGGCAAAGGGTGCCGACGAGGGTGCACGCCTTGGAGCGCACGGCCAGCTCGTCATGTCGCAGCAGCGGCGTTAAGCATTGCGGCAAGCGCGCCCGCAGCAGCATCCCCGTCCAATCCCCGTCGGGCGGCGAGGCTGAGGCGGCCGACGTCGTCGCGCCCGGGCCAGTAAGGCACGCCGCTGCTGCCGCGCCTGCAACGTCGCGCCGCGAGCCGGCTGCGCGCGCCTGCTTGTGAAGATACGCCGACATCAGTATCAACACCCAAGGCGGGAATGCGGTTTTGTGCAGAGTGGTCAGAGCACCGCGTGAAGAGGAGGGGTACGAATACAGTGAATACAGCGGAATGCGGTCGAATACGGCGGATTACGGTCGAATACAGCGGAATACGTGTCCTCTCGAGCGCTGTTCGAACACATGAGCACGTATGCAGCTTCTAGCTGCGCGAGCCGCGTGGCAGAGAAGCAGCAGGGCATTGACGAGAGAAGCGGCCGAGCAACGCGGATCGAGGCAAGCGGCGGCGGCAGCAGCGGTCAGACCGCATCGCCCGTCACACGGCTCGCCACCCTGATCGCCGCACTGCCCGTCGCAAAGAAGCTGCCGGAGAAAGTGGCGCGACCCGAGCACCAGCCGCGCCAGCAAGCTCACGCTGACTTCGCGGTCGTGCGGTGACGCCTCGGCCAGCGCCCGCAGCAGCGTCTTTACCAGGCCCGCCTCATGCAACGCCTGATTGCAGGGTGAATGCGTGCCTATCTCGGCTCTCTCGCGGCTATATCTCTGGGCTGCGTCTTTGCGATCTCGCAGCGGCCGTCTCTATCAGCGACACAAGACACTAGCCGTGCTACGTCGCTCGGGTATCTCGGGAATCTCAGGTATCTCCGGCTACCTGCTGAAGCGCGACGAGTGCCTCCTCCTCCTCCTCTCCGCCCTCTCCGAACGGAGCGTAGACGGCGATCGAGACGGCACGCAGCAAGCGGCCGCTCGACGCTCCGCCCCTGGAAGCCGAGCTCAACTTGCGCAGGCGGCTCGGCTCGATGGCTGCGAGGAGCGACGCGTCGAGGCGGTGGCGGAGCAAAAGCGAAGCCGAGCAGCGGCGTGCCTCGGGCCATCGCAGCAGCGCAGCCCACAGCTGTGCGGCCGCCAAGACGGCCACGTCCGGCGCCGCCCCGTCCACGCCCGACAGCCGGCGCGACAGCGGCGCCTCGAGAGCCCCCCATCGCTCACGGTGCGACCAGAGGGCCGTGGCGCCGTCAATCGAGGCGGCGAGGGAGAGGAGCCGCCGGAGCACCCGCGCCTCTGCGGCGCTGCCAGCCGTGCGGAGCGAGTCGAGCAAGCGTCCAACCTCCTCCTGCGGCGTGTCCCGTGGCCTCGACCCAGACCTCGGGTTCGACGGCTCCCGCGGCGAGGTACTGCGCTCGCCGCTTGCACCGCCACCGGGAGGACACGTCTGTGCCGCGTGCTCAAGGCCGGGAGGAGACGTCTGTGCCGCGTGCTCGAGGCCGGGAGGACACGTCTGTGCCGCGTGCTCGAGGCCGGGAGGAGACGTCTGTGCCGCGTGCTCGAGGCCGGGAGGAGACGTCTGTGCGAGGCCTGGAGGACACGTCTGTGCCGCGTGCTCGAGGCCGGGCGCGAGAGCCGCTCGCACAGGACCCCCCCCTTCGGGACCCGGAGGCGCCTCGGCGTGGGCCCCGCGCGTGGCCGCGCCCTCCTCATCGCGGCAGCCGACCGGCAGGACAGAGAGGAAGGCGCCGGGAAAGTTGGCGCGCAGCGCGAGCGCGTGGTGCGGCACCACGGCTGGCGTCCGCTGCTGGCAAGGGCCTCGGAGGAAGGGGTGGTGGAGCAGCGCCGGGTACGAGAGGCGCCGGCGCGGGTCCTTGGTGAGCAGACCTTCGAGGAGCGAGCCAAAGGGGAGCGAGGCGTTTTCCGGCCGCGAGACGTCTTTCGAAACAATCATCGAGACTAGCGCGAAGAAGTTGTGGGTGTCGAACGGCGGCCGGCCGACGTAGAGCTCGTACAGTATGACGCCCAGCGCCCACAGGTCGGCTGTGTGGTCGTAAGGCTGCTCCTGCAAGAGCTCCGGCGCCATGTAGAGCGGCGTGCCCTTTATCGATGCGAGCACCGTGGTTTGCTGCGACATGGCGCGAGCGAAGCCAAAGTCGCAGAGCATGACGCGCGAGTTGGCGCCGAGCAGGATGTTTTGTGGCTTCATGTCGCGGTGGATCACGCGGTGGGAGTGCAGGTAGTGGAGCGCGTCGACGAGCTGAGCCGCGATTGGCAGGACCGCCGCCTCGGGGAGCGCAGTGTCGCCCTGGAGCACCTCGAAGAGGGTGCCCGACGCAAACTCGGTGACGGCGCAGAGTGCGTCCTCCGTCTCGAAGCAGTCGAGCATCTGCACGATGTTTGGGTGGCGCAGCGTCCGGAGAATGTCCCTCTCCTGCCGCAACGCCGCCAACTCGGCGGCGCTGTGGCCTACGGTCGGGATGAACTTGATGGCGACGACCTGCCCGCAGTAGCGGCGGCGCCCCTTGTACACCTTGCCAAAGGAGCCCTCGCCCACTAGGCCGATGACGTGGTAGTCCGAGAGCGGCATTCAATTCGTCGGCCCTCCAGAGAGCGGGTGGGCCGCGCAGCCAGGTTCGTGTGAAGAGTCGGCATAAAGCGCGCGCGATAAGGGTTTTGCTTGCCTTCCCTGGGACCCCGTGTTGCATGTCTGACTGTCACTGTGCGATTTCGGGGCCCGGGGTTGTGCGTTTATGTGAAGAAGAAACTTGTGGTGGCCAACAGCACAACGTTTGTGTGCATCCACTTCGCGGACAGGTGCACTGCCTTGACAGTCAAGACAGAGACGCAAGCTCTCTCGGACAATCTCTCGCACGATATCTCGAAGCCAAGTCAGTGAGCGTGCAGTGATTACGGCAGTGATCACTCCCCATCCATCCATCCTCCATCCACTCCGAAGCTCGAGCTCCGAAGAGTTTCGCTCACCGGCACTCCGACGCGCTAGAGGCTCTCCAGCCGACCCGCCGGGAAGGCAGTGCTCAAAGAGGTCGAGCCGCGACTAATGGGGTGTCTCCGAGCTTACTGGAGCTCTGATGGACGGCGGCCCTGACTATCACTGGCAAAGAAAGCGTGTGTCCTACCTATGTGTGTATGTAGAAAAGCCCCGGGTAAGCCTGGAAAATACCCAGCCAAAATACCCATTGAAGTACCCAGGTACATTCCCGGAGGAGGACTGCTGCCGGTTTTCTGTGGACAAAATACCTGGGTACTTCAATGGGTACTTTGGTGTCTTTGGTCTTTGCCGATTTCCCCGATTTTTGTCAGTTAAAAGGGGAACCCTCTCGTTTTCATCTCCCATCTGGGTGGGTTCCGAAAACATGGGTACAGGCCAACCTTACAGCCGCTGTATTACAGGGGCCCTCCCGCTTACAGCGCAACAAACAAATAACTCTAGCGCAGGGCTAGGGCTCTCTTGCCCGCAACCCGTCCCCGAGCATCTGGCCCGCTGGGTGCGCTTCTTAGCTCCCCGGCCCTGGATGTGAGGCTGCCACCTGCACTCCAAGTGCTCCAAGTGCGCGTCGGAGTGCCGGTGAGCGAATCTTCGCACTTTTCGGAGCTCGAGCTTCGGATGGATGGGGAGTAATTTGGCCAGTACATACTTTTCCGGCAAACAAAAGGGAAACGAGAGGGTCGCTCCCCAGCACTTTGGTCTTTGCGTTTCCGGAAATTTCCAAGGAATCCAAAGGGCTTTGGTGCTCCATCTGTTTTCTCTTGAGTTCGATCCCTACCTTGGGAAACTCGCGAGTTTCCCTTAGTCTGAGAGCTGGTCTGAGGCAGAATCTGAGGCAAAATCGATAATATCAAATTCTTTGGTGTTGTTTGTCTCCGCCGCCGCCCGGGGCCGCGTCCACGCGTAGGAAACAACATCTCTCTCAATCTTCGGAGCTCGAGCTTCGGAGTGGATGGAGGATGGATGGATGGGGAGTGATCACTGCCGTAATCACTGCACGCTCACTGACTTGGCTTCGAGATATCGTGCGAGAGATTGTCCGAGAGAGCTTGCGTCTCTGTCTTGACTGTCAAGGCAGTGCACCTGTCGCCGCGAAGTGGATGCACACACAGAAAGAAAGAAAGAAAGAAAACTACCCAAGGGAGGGATGGGAGGACGGCACGCCGCCACCACACAGGGATTTTAAGGAGAGGTGTGTGGTGCGCTAGCCGTCGCCCACCCTAGGGAGTCTGCCTCTTCCTATCTCTCTTCGCAGTCTCTCGCCGCTTCTCGCTGCGACCTTCATGCCACCTCGCAGTCGTCCCACTCTCGTCGTTCTCTCCCTTGTCATTTCCTCCTCTGTCGCGTCGTTCTCTTCTGCCTCGTCCTGCACACACAAACTTGTGCTGTTGGCCACCACAAGTTTCTTCTGTGGCTCTGTATGGCTTGATTTTGTTTTTGTGATTCAGAGAGAAGAGTTTTCAGTGTCTCTCTCTCTCTCTCAGTGTATGTGGCTCTTACGTACATTCCCGCAGGAGGACTCTGCTGACAAGGTTTCTATTTTTCACCATCTTCCACGACAAGAGAATACCCGCGCGCCCCGGGGGGCATTGAGCCAACAGCGTGCCCACGACACATCAAATTCTTTGTGGGCCGCCTTTCCTTCCACCCAGGTCTTTTGCGCGCGGCTCGCGCCCAGTGGATGCCCCCCAAGCGGCAGGAAGACTCAGGCGGCTCTTCCGGCAGCGGGCGCGTGCCGCACCCCGCACCCGTGCGCGCGCGCCCACTCGCCACAACCTGCAGTCAAAAGCCGGACCCCGCACCCTGCGCCAGCGTGTGCGCGCAGCGGGACGTCCCGGCGCGCGTGAAACGCGCGCGCTGCGAGACGTCCTGACGCGTGTGAAAACCGCGCGGCGCAGCGAGCAGTCCTCACGCGCGCGCGTCCGCCTGACGCGCAGGCGGGCAACGCGCAGCAGCAAGCGCTCCGTCTCTGAGCGCGAGGCGCAGCCCGCGCCAAAGAGGTGCACAGACACGCAACACACTGCACCACGGTTGCCCTTGCCCTGACACGCTGCTGGGCGCGCAGGCCTCGATCCGACAAGGGCAAGAGCAAGCAGCGGAGCATGGACACTACATCTGAGAGGCGCGCCACCCGCGCGCGCCGTCCGCCACGCCCGTGGTTTCTCCCGCCGATCTCCCCCACTCCCGCACCTTGCAGAGCGGACGAGCCTGCTGGTGACGCGCCTCGGCGCGGAAACGAGGCTGCCGCCTCGAGCAGTGGCGGTGGCTCTTCGCACGAGCCGAGCGCGGCGCAGCAGCGCGCCGAGGCGCGGCAGGCGGCGCTCGAGGCGGCCGAGCGCGAGGCGCTCGAGATGCTCGACGAGTCCTCCGCGCGTGCGCGCGCCGGTGCGCCGTCCTGGGGCGGGCCGTCCCACGCGCTGCAGGTGCCGCGCCGCCCGCCACCCTTTCGTGGCAGTGGCAGAGCAGCGGAGGGAGCAAATCCACACTTATGCTTGCCAACCCCTCCGCGGATCGTGGGTGCGGGCAACCAGGCCGGTCGCCGCAAGTCGCCCCATGCGGCACTCGCCCTGCTCCCCTTTTGTCGCAGGGTCTCCTCCGGAAGCTCGGCGCCGGTCTGGACGACCTGCTTCCGAGTGCGTCGTCGCACGGGCGACTCAAGACGATTCTCGCTGGCCTCAAGGGCCCCGACGAGAGCATGCAGCTTAGATGCTGAATGCAGATCTGTGCATTCCCACGAGCACTCTATTCAGCCGTAGCCTCAGCCGTAGTCAATGTACTCCGTGGCCGGTCCTCTGAACACACTGCACGATACCGTACTCCCGCCCAGACTTTGGCGTCTTCACAATGCAGGCATGCAGCTCGCGTCGCTCACCGAGCTCTGCGAGGTGCTCTCGATTGGGACTGAGGTGAGCGCGCGTGCCAGCCGCACCGCCTATGCTTCTCGCCGGCCCCTCGCCAGCCTCCCCGCCGCCCTCTCTAGCCGCGCCGGTGTCCTGCAGGCCGCCTCGCCCTTGCCGCCTCTGCCGGGAAAAAACCGGCGCGCGAGATCGCGGCTCTGAATGCGCCCGCGCGTGCCCCTCCAGGAGTCCATGTCCTCGCTGTCCGTCGACGTCTTCACGCCGCTGCTGATCTCGCTGCTGCGGCAGGAGCACAACCCAGACATGATGCTGCTCGCCTCGCGCGCACTGTGCCACCTCATGGACGCCATCCCCTCCTCCTCCGCCGCCATCGTCCACTTCGATGGCGTGCCTCTCTTTTGTGCGCGCCCCACCAACCCTCTCCAGGCGCACCCAGCACGCGGCGCCGCTGAGGCCCACCACTGCTGCACAGGCGAGCGGCTCCTGTCGATCGAGTACATTGACCTGGCGGAGCAGGCGCTGCACGCGCTGGAGAAGCTGTCGCAGGAGCACCCGCTCGCAGTCCTCCGCGCCGGCGGCATGCTCGCCGTCCTGCAGTACGTCGACTTTTTTGCGATGGGCGTGCAGCGGCGCGCGGTCGCCACGGCGGCAAACATGTGCCGCGGCTTGCCGGTCGAGTGCGCGCACTTGGTGGCGGATTCGGTGCCGTTGCTCTCCAACTTGCTCTCCCACCACGACCAGAAGCTCCTCGAGAACGTCTGCCTCGCCTTCGCGCGCCTCGCCGAGGCGTTCTCCTACTCGGCGCCGCAGCTCGAGATGCTGGCCGCGCAGGGCCTCCTCCCGAACGTCCTCCGCCTGGTGGGTGGCATGGCGTCGCCGGGCCAGTCCGACGCCCCGGTGGCGGTGTCGGACGCGACGTACACGATGCTGCTGCGGATGCTGGCGACGCTCTGCCACGGTTCGGCCTCGCTGTGCAAGCAGCTGCTGCAGCTCGACGCGTCGTCGACCCTGCACGACGTCCTCTCCGCCGACGCCACCGCCTCGCAAGGCAGCGGCTTTGCCGCCGCAATCTCGCGGCCGCACGACCAGTTGTACCAGGTGCTCGCGCTCGCGCACGAGCTGCTGCCGCCGCTCCCAAAGGGGTCGCCCTTTTCGGCGGGCGCGGCGCGGCTGCTGGCGCCGAAGCGGCGCTCCAAGCGGAACCCGGAGGGCGAAGCTGCGCCGGTGGCCGACAGCAGCGCCGGCGAGCGAACGCCCACCGAGCGCGAGCAGGCGCTGCTCGACCAGCCCGAGCTCGTGGAGCTCTACGCGAGTCGGCTCTTTGCGCTCTTCATGCACGTCCACTCGGGTGCGGTCAACGCGAGCGTGCGCTCCAAGTCCCTCTCGTGCATGGCCAAGGTGCTGCACTTTTACCCCGCCGCCGGCTTGCGCGACATGGTCCGGAGCCACGCCATCGCCGCCTTCCTCGCGCCGCTCATCACGTCGCAGGAGCACGCGTCGGCGCTGCTCGCCCTCCACATGGCCGAGATCCTCATGACCAAGCTCCCCGCCGTCTACACGGACAAGTTCCTTCGCGAGGGGGTGTTTGACGCCGCCGGCCGCCTTGCGGCACAGGCGCCGCCCCCCGCAGCCGCCGGCACGGCCGCCGCCACCGCCGCCGCCGCCGCCACCGCTTCAGCAAGCGCGACCGCGGCCGCGGTGCCATTCTCAAGTGCTTCGGGCGGAGCCTCGAGCACGCCGAGCCGGCCCACACCGCCGCCTTCGGCCGCCGCGCCGCCGCCCAGCCAGGCGCCGCGACGCACCTCACGGCACGGGCGCCCGGCGGACGCCGACGATGCCGCCGCCTCCTCCCTTTCATCCGCCACTTCCGCCGCCGCCGCCGCCGCCGCCGCAGCGGCGGCGATGCCGCCCCCGGCGGAGCGGCAGCCGGCGGACCGGCGCCGCTCGTCGGCTGCCTCGACCGCGTCCAGCGGCGCGCGCGCTGAAGCGGCCGCGGCGCCGGCGCCGATGCCGCCTCCGGCGCCGCGGCTGCCTCACCTGAGCTCGGCTGCGCTGGCCGCGCAGGAGGTTGCAGCGTCCGTCGCCTCGCGCGCGGCGCGATTCCACGAGATGTTTGTTTCGAGCAACCCGACTCTCGCGGCGGCGGTCACGTCGGGGGAGGGATCGGCCACGTTGCGCAAGCTGCGCTCGCTCGCCACCTCACTCTCGGACGAGTCGCTGTACTCGACCGTCAACCCGAAGGTGCCGCTCGCCGGGTCGTGGACGACCTTTGCGGACGTGCGCGCGTTGCGGCAGCTCGCGTCGCTGCTCGACGAAGTCGGCGACGGCGTCTCCACCTTCGAGCTCGCGAAGTCGGGCCTCGTCGAGGCGTTGCTCACCTACCTCACGGACGCGGACGCTGTGC